TGCCATGGACACGGGCTCTATTTGTATAATGACGTAGTAATAGCAGCCACCACTTACTCTGCTCCTACCCAGGTGCTCTGAAAGGATACGCTCCTCTTCTCCACACAGGCTCTTCTCACAACATCTGCACTAAGTGTTGATATGCTCCAGGCCTGCAGCCCTGGCTGGCCTCCAGCTGTAGTGCAGGCTACCCTCAAACTCCTGATGCTGCCTGTACATGCGGAGTGCTGACATTACAGGCGTGCTCCACCACAACCAGCTCCACTGTTCACATTTCTCAGATACAGAAAGCCAGGCCATAGAGAGTGTAGGCAAATTCTTCACAGCCACACCAGCTACAATGATCACTACTGGAAGAAAGGAACTCCCTCAAATGGTTAGAAGTTCCCTTCCTCACTGCCTGGCCCTGAGGATGAGTCCACTGACAAGAGAGAACTGGAATACTAGCATTTCTTGATCCATCCTGATTCCTAGGAGGCCCCCTCATGAGCAGAAATACTAAATGAAGCCTTTGGAGTCAACTGAATTCACTCCAGGGATCCTTGTATGAGCCTATGTAATAGTAAGGAACCCACTTTTGACTGGAGTCACTCTATGTATTGATAGCAGAATTTAACCATGTGGACTTGAACTAGATTCCACCACTTATTAACTTGACATTTGATACCAGCATGTGTGTGCATGTGTGTGTATTTGCATGTACACATGTATGTGCATACATGTCTAGGACCCACATGGTGAAAGGAGTAAACTGACTGCTATAAGCTGGCCTCACCCTACCTCACCCTACATGTGCAGACTGGCACACTTACCCACACTCATCACCTATCTCCTTCATATACACATTTTTTAAAGAGCAACCAAAAAATTTTTAATGCCAGATTAAAGAAAAAACCTCTATCATTTATTGTAATTGCTCTACATACACAGACCTCAAAGGAAGAGTGCAACCTCTGATTTCTGGTTTCCTAGAGATAGCTATTATGTCACCCCAGTACCAACCGGTTCTACAGAAGCAGAGGAGCCAGCCTGAGTACAAGTGAAAGCACGCACTTCCACAATTAGGTGGAGTAAGAAGGAACCTCACCCCCACACTCATGCTCAGGTCGGCACTTAGGCGGTTGTGTAAGTCTGGGTCTGGAACGGGCTCCCTTCGGCTCTAGAGTTCTCCACACCCAGCAGACATACAGACGCACCTCAGCTGCTGGCATATGCCTCCAACAAGTCGCCTCCATACGGCTGGGAATATCTAGCCTTCTTCATCTCCTTACCAGGTCCTCTCTTCAGTCCAGATGTCAATACAGTATCTGTTGCTACACTGACTGCCTACATGAACATCTTTCCTGATGACCTTAGCCAGGTCAGGATTATAGGTTCCAAATTCACCAAGTCAATGTGGAAATCAAATCAGTTTACCCAACATGAAGAAAGGCTGCTTTCTTCAGAAATAGTCAAAAACCCAATACAATTCCTAGCTAGCAGGCAAAAGGGTTGCCTACAGGCATTCACTTACAGGTGTCACTGTGCCCCACACTATAATCCTAAACAGGGATTCCAAATGTACCTCCCAGGGGTACTCAGCTGTAGTTTTTTGGTTTTATTTTAGTGAGTGCCACGGACTTTCCTATCTATAGTATTTTGTTCTCTATGTGTATTTCCTTTCTAGCTCAATATATGCAAGTGAATTTATAAATTGTAAAAGTTAATCAAAGTGAATTAAAAAAATAAACAGATTTCAAGATCTTAAATCAGAAATATGATCTAACCTATAAAGAATGACTTTTAAATTTTATTTGTTTATCCATTGATTTTAATAATCTTTGAGACAAGGATTCACTATGTATGCCAAAGTGGCCTCAAATCCAGGATCCTCTTGCCTCAGTGGCCCCAGTGCTAAAATTATAGTCATGTGTCACCATGCACAGCTTCTAGGGCGTGGTTGTTAATGGTCATTATGTTGAGAGTGAATGTTTCCAAACAACATATCTCTATAAGAGAGCATGCTGTAATAGGCAGGGCTAGTTCTTCGGTAAGAATAAATGTGTTTCAGCAGTTACTCAATTTGCTGAACCATAAGGAAGTCAGTGAGTGACATGACTTGCTCAGGGAAGTACGAATATCCTGATGCCAATCAGGACTTTTAACTACACAAGAGAGGCAAAGGAACATTTGTGCAAGATTCAAGAACAGTGGATAGTTGAAGTCCATGAACACTGAAACTTTTCAAGTGCCCTGAAACAATGAATTAGCTCACAGACTGTCAACACTGCCACTAAACCAGTCTTTCACTTACGCCACTTAGAAAGAGACCAACTTCTGTTTGTCAAGGCAGCAGTCAACCACAGACATGCCTCTGAGATATGGACTTTAAATAGCAAAAATCCAAGGAACTGACAAGGTACTCGGATGGCCAAATATTTCACAGCTCATGGAGTAGTAAGTAAACTAGCAAAACACCTAAAATCTTTACCAAAAGTATAGGTGCTGATATTGTTACGCATTAGGTACAAAGTTATCTGTGCTTCTAGCTAAAGTCATCTGAGGAGGAAACTCCAATGGAGAAAAATGCCCCCCAAAAGGAGCTGTAAGCTATAGGCAAGCCTGTAGAGCATTTTCTTAATTAGTGATCATCAATGGGGTCACAATGGGGATCAGCCTATTGTGGGTGGTGCCATTTCTGAGGCCAGCCTGGTCTACAAGAGCTAGTTCTAGGACAGCAAGGAGTGTTACACAGAGAAACCCTGTCTTAAAAAACAACAAAAAAAAAATAACAAGAAAAAAAAAAGAAAGCAAATTGAGTAATCCAGGAGGAGCAAGCCAGTTAGCAGCACCCCTGAATTGTCTCTGTATCAGTGCCTGCCTCCAAGTTCCTGCCTTGCTTGAGTTCCTGTCCTCACTGCTTTGGATGATGAACTGTTACATGGAACTATGAGCCAAATAAACCCTTTCCTCCCCAAATTATTTTTGGTCATGGTGTTTCATCACAACAGTAGTAACCCTAACTAAGACACAGGTGTACTTTCCACCCTGCCCCCAAAGATAGGGCTTCTCTGTGTAACAGCCCTAGGTATCCTGGAACTTTCTCCGTAGATCAGACCTTCCTCTGAACCCCGATTGCTGGGATTACAGACGTGCTCCATGTTCTTTTATGTGCAGAATAATCTGTAGAAGGATGCACAGAAAGCCAGTACCTGTGAGGAACATGCCGGACTTGTGGAAAGGGAAGTGTGTCCTTTTACTATAAATTTCTGTTTGTATGTATCTGCTATGTGTGTGTGTGTGTGCCTGCAGAGTTCAGAAGAGGCCCAGGAGCCCCTGAGCTGGAGTTGCAGGTGCTGTGGGGGTGACGGGATCCAAACTCAGGTCCTCTGGAAAAGTAGCACATGCTCTTAACTGCTAAGCTATCCCCCAAAATAAAAGTCTTTATATTAAAAAGCCGTTTTGAAGCAACGTTTCATATGGTTAATTAAGAAAATTTAATCATCTACCAGGTGTGATGATTCATGCAGTAGATAGGCAGAGACAGGAGTATCCCTGCGAGACCAAGGCTAGCCTGGTCTACAGAGTAAGTGCCAGAAAGAACATCCAGGGTGACACAGAGAAACCCTGTCTTGAAAAATCAAAACAGAAAAGAAAAAAGAAATGAGCTATTGAGCTACAAAAAGACACGGAGTGGCTGTAAAGCCTATTCCTAAGTGAAAGACCTGTGAGGGATAAACAGAATGGCTCCAATCACTCGCAAAGGGGCAACATTTGAAAGTCAGTAAGCTCAGTGGTGGAAAGGGGTGGGGCAGGGGATGGATGAAGGGGTGAAGCACTGAGGGGTTCAGCACAATGAAATGATTCTGCTGTATACCTTAATAGTGACTGTACGATAATATGAATTTGTCAAAGTCCACAAAACTGCTCAGCACAAAGATTAAACCCCAATGTAAAGTATAGGCTTTTGGTAATCACACTGAGCTAATAATCAGTTGCAAGAAATGTATCACACTAATACAATATATTAATAATAGACGCTAAATAGAAGCCAGACAGTGGTGGTGCACGCCTTTAACAAAGCAGCACTGGGGAGGCAGAGGCAGGTGGATCTCTGAGCTTTGAGTTTGAAGTCAGCCTGGTCTACAGAGCAAATTCTAAGATAGCCAGGGCTACACACAGAAACCTTGTTTTGAAAAAAAGAAAACAGAAAAAAAAAAGGAGAATAAGAAGCCAAATAGAAGATATAGAGGGTAAAAAGAACTCTCTACTATTGGCTCAATCGTCTACAAGCTTAAAATTCCCCTAAATATTTAAGTCTGTGAATTTTTAAGTGTATATGTATGAATATAAGTAAATGCTTTTCACACTCACTGTAAGGTGCTTATCAAAGTACAGTACTTTCTACCACATAACCTTAGCTCAAAAGCAAGGTCCTGAGTCAAGTTCTGCAGTGGCAGATATGATCCTACTACTATCTAACTGTGTGGTTTTATGCAAGTTGTCTCTTTAGCCTTAGTTTCTCCATCTGTAAAGTAGAAAACAGCAACCCCTTCTAAGTCTGTTAATAAGAATCAAAGAAATGAGAATCAAAGAAAAGTGGCATGCGAAATGCTTGCCACAGTGTGTGACAAAAGAGAAAAGCTCGAAATTACATCGCATTATGAAAGCAAAATTATTATTCACAAAATGTCTGATGTCACTTCAAAGGCCAAGTTTACTCCAATACCAACCTATCAGGAACAGCCCTGTTTAGGGCCTCAGCTTCTTAACTGTGTTAATTTGAACGCAATGCTCATTCCCCGAGTGCTAGTCCACAGAGTTCAGACATTCTTTACTTCATAAATGTTATTTTTCATTCTTATTTGGCCCTACATTAGAGGCTCAGGCCCTGGAGCCCCTTCTTTCTGTCCCTCCCCATTCCATCCAGACCCGCTACATTCAGGCTCCACCCTTGTCTCCGCCCCACTCCACCCAACTTTACTTCTTTCCTTTCCCGAAGCTGAAAGACGCCCCCCTACCCAGATACTCGTAGTCCGGTAGAGCAAGGCGCTCGGGACTCAGCATCCTTTGACCGGGTAGTTTCCACGCTCCAGCTCTCCGGCTTCCGGAATCCAGGCTACAGCCTGTCTCTGTTGCCATGGTACCCATGCGGCCAAAGAAGAAATAGAAGGCGGAGAGGGTGTCACATAAACCGCTCCGACTGGCAACGCGGAGCCCACTACTTAAGTTCCGGAAGTAGTCTCTTCAAGATTTTTCTTTTCTTTCTTTTTTTTTTTCAGCTCCTATATTTAGGACTTGTTTTTAAAGCACTGAATGTGTCATATTTCGTGATGCCAGAATTACTGTCACTGGCTCATTTCCACAATTTCTGTATTTCATAATTTTTGTATATCCTAATGATAATTATTATGTATGAACTCGCACAAAACTGAAATCTTGTTATCTATTATTAATCACTTTTAGTATTTACTCTCTTAAGTTGCTACAAAGTACTCATTGTATATTGGCGGCTTCTCGGGATCAGGGATGTGCATTTTAACACCTAACACAAGAGGTTTTCATTAAGGGCCCGTGAGACGGTTCAACACCTTTAGTCGCTGAGTTCAAACTAAGGTACCCCGTATGGTGAGGAAAAGAGCACCAACTCCTTTCAAGTTGTTCTCTGACCTCCACGTATCCCCTGCCCCAAATAAATGTATATGTACATATAGACAGAGACAGGGTCTCACAAAGCCCTGGTTGGCTTGGAACTTGATTTAGATCAGGCTGGCCTTGAACTTATAGAGATCTGCCTGCCTCTGCCTTGCAGAGGGCTGTTTGAAAAGGTGTGTGCCACCCCACCCAGTAAAATGTCATTTTGAAAACTACTCATTAAGGCCCCTGTAAGTTAGCTGGCGTTCCTCTGAAATTCCTTTTCATCTTTAGACTCTACTTCTCTTATCCCTTATTATTGGATACCTCGTCAAGTGGTTTTCCTTTCTCCTACAAAGATACTTCACAAAGGAAGTGGATCAGAAACCAGAGCATTTATTAGATCCCCCACCCAATTATATCCTTTTTAAAAAGAAAGACCATCCATTGGTTTTCAAAGAGATATTTCCTTTTGCTCCTCCCTCCCCACAATAGAGATCTGTAGCAGCTGTCATAATCTAACAGTAGCAGAAAAAGTCACTTGGTCTTCACTTTTTTTTTTAAGTAAGTTCCCTTTCTTCCCCCTTTCAACAAGGGGAGGTTTTGTGACAAAGAAAGAAAACAAAATTTTTACCAACAAAGGAGAGGCTGGGAATCCCACAGACCACCTACACTGGGAGAAGGAAAGAGAAGCATCTTCTCTCATGTTCTGAGTGGCCTATTCTTAGCTTCTGCTAACAAGGAGCCTCTCAGACCTTATAATTCTCCCTTTCCCTTAAATTCGTATATATGTCTCAACTCTAGGCTCCTCTGAGTCACTCTGAATTTGGATGTGGAAATTAGAAAGGGACAGAGCCAAACTAGGAGCAGTGTTTAGTGTTCTGAGGTAATGAATTTGATAGGAAGTCTTACAAATTTGATTTAAAAGAGTTGCCTTCTCCTTCCTCCACCGCTCCTCTATGAAGCTTGAGGGTACCTTATATTTGGGCTTATTACTATAATGTAAAGTAATAATAAATTTTTTTAGATTGAGATAGGGCCTTACGTTTTTCAGGCTTGCCTATAACTCACTAGGTAGCCAAAGATGATCTTGAACTTCCGATCTCCCTGCCTCCATCTCTGGAGTGCTGTGATTCGAGGCACGTGTCACCAACTCTGTTTTATTTGGAGCTGGGATGGAATCTAGGGTCTTCTTCGTCCATGCTAGACAAGCAAGCAATGCTAATATGGTAATTACTACAGATGATAGTCTTATCTTACTCTCCAACAGCCTCAAGTTATTTGAGGATAATTTCATATGTTTTGCCTCATGAAAACTAAGGCAATTCCCTCTTTTCTAAGTAGGAAAACCGAGGCATGGGTCACAAAAGTGACTATCTACTCTGTGGGAGGGCTGGAAGTGGATCTCAGCTATATCAACATCCAGGCGAGTGGGCTGACCACTAAACCACACAATCTCCTTTTTTAGAGATTTTGGGTTGGTGTTTATTTATTCACTTTTCTTTTTGTTCTGTCCTGTTAGCAACTGAGAGCATCCAGATAAAAACAGAAAGTTTTGAATCCAGGCTACACACTTGACATCCACTTATTTGTGGAACATCATTCTGGGACTTGGAGGGTGCTACTATTGGGGTCTGTGTGGGGAAGCTGGGATCCAACCCCAAAAATATAGCTTTGTTTGGGCATTAACCCATTTGCGGTTATAATAATGATAAGTTTCAGCACCAGTGGCGCCCGACTGTTAATGACTCAAAGAAAGCTAAATAAGAACAAGATGTCATCTTTGGAGCAATTTGTAAGTTTTTCCTACAGTTCCATTTCTTCTATTAAAGTCCCAATGATCCTTATGGTTTTGGTTTGTTTTTGTTTTTTAGAAGATGGCTTTTTTAAAAGATTTATTTATTTGTGTATTTTATGTATATGAGTGCACTATTTGCATGTGTGCCTGCATGGCAGAAGAGGGCATCAGAGAGAAGAGGGCACCAGATCTCATTACAGATGGTTGTGAGTCACCATGTGTTGCTAGAAATTGAACTCAAGGCCTCTGGAAGAGCAGTCAGTGTTCTTAAGCACTGAGCCATCTTTCTTGCCCTTTCTCGTTTGTTTGTTTGAGACAAGGTTCTCTCTGTAGCCCTGGATGTCCTGGAACTAGCTCTTGTAGACCAGGCTGGCCTTGAACTCACAGACATCCACCTGCCTCTGCCTCCCGAGTGCTGGGATTAAAGGCGTGCGCCACCACCACCTAACAATCCTATGCTTAAAGCTAGTCTCCACTGTGAGTGTTCCAAACAGTGTAGTGGGGGCTGGAGAGATGGCTCAGTGGTTAAGAGCATTGCCTGCTCTTCCAAAGGTCCTGAGTTCAATTCCCAGCAACCACATGGTGGCTCACAACCATCTGTAATGAGGTCTGGTGCCCTCTTCTAGCGATCAGGCATACACGCACAAAGGATATTGTATACAAAATAAATAAATAAATAAATATTAAAAAAAAAACAGTGTAGTGGTGAAGTAACCTAGACAGTGCAGGAGGCTACTAGTCTAGAGCCTCAAATATTGGGGGTTTCTTAGAAATAATATTAGCCCTTTCTGGTGGTGGAATTACTGACTGTATTTTCTTCCCTTATATTTTTTCTGTAGTCCTCAAATTATCTTTCTATTTTGAACTGAAAGCACACGATGGCAAGCGTGATGACCTTTCAGAGAGTACTATCTAAGGAGCAGCCACTGCTTTTTGGATTTCTATTTGGTCACAGATTACATTACAGATTTTGGCAACACTTACATGCTGGATGAGATTTTTCAGTGAAACAAGCACAATAGTCTTGAGAGCAGAAATGAGAGCGGGAGCAGCAGCTCAGCAGCTTGTGCACTGCTCTCGCCCAGGACCTGATTTCAGTTGCCAGCACCCAGATCAGGAGGCTCCCAACTTCCTACAACTCCAGGTGATTCAGCACCCTCTTCTGGACTCCACAGACATCTGCACTCATGTATGTAAGCACACATACATGTAATTAAAAAATAAAATAAATATATTAAATTTTTTAAAGAATAAATGAGTTTTATATGTATGTAATACGTATGTATTATATGTATAAGTGGTGGTATGTATTTTTGTGATCCTGATGAATGTTAGTGGAAAAAAGTATCAGCCCTCAATTTAAATGGACTTTCTGATTCCTATATTATTACAACATATTTCTAAAAATTTACCCAAATAAATAATCGCTTAGACCACTGTTTTTCAACCTTCCTAATGCTGTGACCCTTTAATACAGTTCTTTTTGTGTGGTGATCCTCAACCATAAAAGTATTTTCATTGCTACTTCATAGCTAATTTTGCTATGGTTAATGTAAATACCTGTGTTTTCTGATGGTCTTAAACGAACCCTATAAAAGAGTCATTAGACTTTCAAAAGAGTTGTGACCCACAAGTTGAGAACCACTGACTTAGACAGCTGAGTCGACAAAAAGATAACTCTACACTCCTGAGAAGTGCAAGTGATAGGACTAGGGGGAAACAGCTCAGTAAGAGTGATAGGGCTAGGGGGAAACAGCTCAGTAAGAGCTATTGCTGAGAAAGCATAGGACCTGAGTTCAGAGCCTTATGTAAAAAAAAAAAAAAAAAAAAGTGGGGAGGGTGGCAGTGGTGGCGCACACCTTTAATCCCAGCACTACAGAGGAAGAGGCGTGTGGATCTCTGTGAGTTCAAGGCCAGGCTGGAACACACAGTGAGTTCCGGGACAGTCAGGGCTGAAACAGAGAAACCCTGTTTCAGAAAAAAAAAAGAAAGAAAGAAAGAAAGAAGAAAGGAAGGAAGGAAGAAAAAAGAAAAGAAAAGAAAAGAAAGGAGTCATGGCTATACATGCAATCTCAGCACTAGGTAGGTAGAGGTGATCACTGGGGCTTACTGACCACTAACAGAGATGAAAAACACTTAGTTTTTTTTCATTTTCTTTTTTTTTTAATATTTATTTATTTATTATGTATACAATATTCTGTCTGTGTGTATGTCTGCAGGCCAGAAGAGGGCACCAGACCTCATTCCAGATGGTTGTGAGCCACCATGTGGTTGCCGGGAATTGAACTCAGGACCTTTGGAAGAGCGGGCAATGCTCTTAACCACTGAGCCATCTCTCTAGCCCAACACTTAGTTTTTTAAGCTCCAGGTTCAGTGACAGATTATGTCAAGGAAACAAGGTAAAGAGCAATAGAGGAGGATGCTTGATGTCCTCCTCTGGTCTCCATAAACAGTTGTACTTTCACATGCAACACACACAGAGAAGAAGCTACTGTTTGGAGCATGCACAAAACAAACCAGATTCAGAAGGCGCTGTACAGACTACCTGGGAAGAAAGGGCATCAATGGTCTTATCCAGGAGTGAACCCTGAAAGCTACAACACCAACCAGACAAGAGGTGCCCATGGCTGTAAAAGTAGCAGGAAGATTATGGGAATAGCTAAGCACTCACTGTCTGGATTTGAGGCCTATTCCACAGGAGGGAAGGAAGGAAT